TGCTGCCTTTGCTTCTCCCTCCCAGGCTGCCCCGGATCGAGTAGCTGGAGTTTGTGCAGCTCCTGGGTCTCGACAAGGTGGGGAGCAAAGTGTGGTGCTGGGTCTCGGAAGCCCCTCTCTTGTCCTTAGGTTGTAGAGAGGGTGCTGGGGAAAATGTTGGCTTTGCAGCCCCTGGATTGGAGTTCTCCAGCTGAAGTCTTGGCATGTCTTCAACATTTTACATGGATTAATCATCAATTGCTAGCCTGCTGGGAAGACGAGATGATGAGAAACTGCAGGGCAGGGCAGACAACACACAGAAGGGCAAACAGAAGACGTCTTGCCCCCTTGCTGTCCTTAGCCCCGATGCTTCAGCTCTGCTGGAGCTCCCGCTCTGCGGGAAGCTCGGGAGGGGATGCTGCCATGCCCATCGCTGGTCCCACACTGCATCCTGCAGCAATCCCTTAGCAGACCTGAGGCATCTCCTGATGAAACCACATTCCTTATCCCGATGAGCCACTCTTTTCCAGCTTTCCATCTATGGCTATTTCGGCCGAGTGTTGTTATATTTAGCTCCTGTCCTTTGGAATTACTTGAATTCCGTTATTTTTAGGGTGAAAGAGGATTGCCTGGACAGACTGGCCAAACAGGGAAGCGAGGATCATCAGGAGGAACAGGCCTTCCAGGGAGCCCTGGCGATCCGGGACCCAAAGGACAGCCGGTTAGTGATGAAAGGAGCTGATCAGACCCTACTGCCAGCTGTCTCCTGCAGGAGAGGGTGCAGATCCGCAGGCTGGGATGGTGGGGTGAACCCTGGGAGGGTCTTTTACAGGGGAACCCCTAACCAGCTTGTGCCCATAACAGCTCTCCAGCATGCCTGCTTCCCTGCTCGTCGCTGCTCGCTGTGCAGGGATGCGTAATCCACGCCTGCGCTCCCCAGGCCAATGTCCACATCACCCTGCGTGTGGTTCCAGGGCAGCCAGGCTGCAGAGCCACCCCAAACACCCCTCAGCAGCATCCTCAGTGAGAGCTGTTCCGAGCGCGGAGCCTGGGGGAGGCGTGGAGCACAGGAGGTGAGCTAGCACGCCCAGCCATCCGAAAGGTGCAGAGGAGGGTCTGTAGCTCCGCTGGGACACGCAGGAGGCACAGTTGGCAGCATCATCAGTGTGGTTTTGAGGGCGGTGGAGCTGTGAGTTCAGAGCACACGCTGCGGGAGGGACACCGAGAGCCCTTGGGCAAAGCAGAAGTTAAATTCCCTCACCTGTCTCCGAGGCAGACTCCTAATCCTTGCTCCTTTATTTATTGTGCTGGTGGGATTGCCCAGTTTAGCACTGGTGCATCACACTTTGTCAGCCTGAGGCTGTACTGAGAACGCATAAGCTGTTTAGGTCGGGAGCACCATCAGAGGGTCTAGTTGGCCCATGGATGTAAAACGTGAGGAAAAGAGAGCTTAGGACTAATACAAAACAAGATGAACCACAACTACCTCCTGTGTAATATACTTGGGTTTATAAAGCCCTGTGGTGGCAGTATTCAAGCTGAAAGGTAGTAGCCAACAATATCATTTGGCCTCTTGTGTCCACAGGCAGCGGGTTCATTTCCCAGTACTGCCATCGCCTACCCTTCTGCAAAACTACCAACCGTGTCCCCTTAGCTGAGACGACTCGGTGGCACTGAAACGCTTCTGACTTCCCATTTACTTTTCAGAGACTCACAGACTGGTTTGGGTTGGAAGGGACCTTAAATCCCATCCAGTCCCACCCCCTGCCATGGGCAGGGACACCTTCCACTAGACCAGGTTGCTCCAAGCCTCATCCAGCCTGGCCTTGGACACTTCCAGGGATGGGGCATCCACAGCTTCTCTGGGCAACCTGCCACAGTGCTCCCCACCCTCTCCAGGAAGAATTTCTTCTAGATGTCCCATCTCAATCTCCCTGGTTTCAGTTTAAACCTGTTACCCCTTGTTCTGTCACTACTTTTTTGCCCGAAATTCCTCTAGAAGGAGGGCTTGGTTGGTTCTCCTAACACGGGAAAGACTTTAGTCCTTCGTTAGTAGCAGTTTTCCTTTCCAAGATCCATAAAGGGGCAGTTAAATCAATTTGCATCCTTGGAAAGTTTCTTAGGCTCCGCCAAGTCCAACAAAGCCCTTTCTTGCCAAGCAGTCTCTCACTGTCGTGGCAGGAAAAACTCCCTGACAGTGAGGTCTCCAGGCTGACTCTGGAATAGCCTTGTAACAGAGGTGGTGGAAACCCCATCGCTTGAGTCATTTACAACTGGGCTGAACAAGACATTGTAAAACGTCCCATAAAGTACAATCCAGCGTGGGTCACAGAGTCCTGCCGAGAGTCCAAGCAAGCCTTTTCCATCTCTGATGTTCCTAAGGCTGTAGATGAATCATCTGGTGGATGTTTCTGACCCTTTTTGTTTTTTAACATTGGATCATTTCACATTATGACATTCGAGAAGCCCAGAAATACCAAAGGACGTACATCTCAAACGCGGTGAAACGAGGGTGTTTGCATAAGGACATGCTACCCAGTGTGGGGTTTTTATGCTCGGAGTGCACGCTATGTGCTAATCCAAGCTTGATGGCCTTCCAAATATTTTATTATTACCTTTAAGAAATTGAGCAAAAATCCCTGCAGTTTTTACCAGGCATAGAATTAGGGGGTGTGCACGGGTTTCCTGGGTCTGAGTGGGAGGTTATGTTGTAGGAACATGCAGTTTTTGACAGCTTGAATTAGCATAGTTCGAAATTGGGGGCTGGAACTAGATGATCTTTGGGGTCCCTTCCAACCCAAACCATTCTATGAAATTACCCTTTCGTAGGTCAGTCCAGTTGGTATTAAAAATAAAAGAAGAGCTTATTTTAAAGGGCTTTGGAGCTGGTTTTTTGCAGCATGAACTTCTAAGATCAGTGTCTGAGGAGACACTCTCCATCCTGCTGCTGCTGACTGTGGTCCAAGCTAGGCAAGCGGAACAGTGTAGTTATGGCTCTGATTTTGGGGGCAGAAAGGCTAAGTCTGTGAGATCGGAGTGATCTACAAGTCTGTGAGATCTGCTGGAGGTGCTTCTAGCCTGTAGTTTGTGTAATTCCTCCCTCAGATTTCTTTCACGCTTCCTTCTCATCAGCCCTGCTTGGGCTGAAGAATGCTAATGGATTTCTCTTCCCCTGAAGCTGCTGAACTCCTCGGGTGACCAGGAACTTACTGTTGCTCTTTGTTCTCGTGTTTGTCTTGGCTGTTATTTGCAGGGAGACTTTGGCGAGGCAGGATTTCCAGGGATTGCTGGCATGTTTGGGCCGAAGGTAAGAACGAGGCTGTCTTGTGACCAGTGGCTTTCTGGCCTCTGGGGACAGGCCATGCCATACTTGTTGCAAAGACTTCATTAGCAGCTCTGCTAATTGAATTGTGATTCCAACTTTCTTTAGATTACACATCTTCATTCGTTAAATGAGTGGCGTATACGTATGCTTTGTTGGAGCTTATCCCTGTTAAAATGGGTGGACAGCAGAGGGAAAAGGGCTGGCCTGTAGACCCCGGAGCTGTTTCAGACTCTTGTATTTCCAGCGTCAGCCACCTGTCTGTACCTGAGGCATTCCTAACGCCGTGATTTGAAATTCACCCTCATTTTGTCAGCCTATAATCTTCCTGGTGAAGGGGGGAGGGGGCTGTTTGTTTTCTGTAGAAAGTAAAGGGTTTGCAAAACAGGAGTGAGAAAAGAAGTTCTAAAAAATTAGACCTTCCCGTACCAAGGCAGTACCTCTGTCCTCCCAGCAGAGCTGTCAGCAGACAGAAACACGAGTATGTTTATTAAGGGGACCTGGCATTTTTGCTTGCAGGGCCCCCCAGGAGACCTTGGTTTCAAAGGCATTCAGGGACCTCGTGGGCCGCCCGGTCTCATGGTGAGTGGTTTTTCGGTTTGTTTGATTTGAGAGGATTTTTTTCCTGCCTCCATCCTCTGTTTCTGGGAGGCTACGGGGTGCCCTAAGGGGCAGAGCGGCTGTCAGTCAGACCACGGCACCACCGCAGAGCCACCAACACATCCGCGGGCAACCACGTGCGCTGGGGTCTCTCCTGCCCTGGGCACGGCCATGCCGCTGCGACCACTGCACAGACTGCTCCAGCTGCTCTGGAACCTTTCTATTCCTGGGATTTCTGAGGTTTTCCGTGGGTTGTGACAACCGTACTGTGAGAGCTTGCATTGGGAACCGGTTGTTGTTTCAGCCGCCGTCGTGTTGCTGACACGCGGCAAAGAGATTCGGAGTCTGCCGAGGTAAAAGCTCACCTCGGCGGTTCACGCATACCTTCTCTTTTCTAGGGAAAAGAAGGAATTATTGGTCCGCTTGGCATTCAGGGTCCCACGGGAAGCCCAGTAAGTAACTGCTTTTCTTTTCTGCCTGTATTTTTTAGTAGAGCGTAGTGTTTGAGATCCGAGATGCTTGAGGCCAGCGTAAGTCAATCCCAAGCCCAGGTGTAATGAGGGAAATGAAATGGTTTTTAAGATGAGCTGCTCTTGAGGGAAGTGCAGGTTTAGTCTCTGGCTGCAGGTATAGTTGCAGGTTTTATTAGCATAAAACTGAGGAGCAACTCTGCCTAAGTGCAGGTTTTTCAATAGATTGGCTCAGGCTAGAAGACAAAAATGTGATTGCAGTTTTTCAAAAGCAAGCTGCCAGGTTTTCCAAGGAACTTGGCCCTGAGGGGGAGAGAGGAAAAAAAAAAAAACCACCCAACCACAAGGAAAAAACCAAAACAAAACAGAACAAACTGATAAATGTAAACTGGGAACAGCTTGATTCTGGGAAGTGTTGAAAATCCTTGCCTGCCCCAAAACGCCAACGGCGCTGGACAGAAGACACTGAAGTTCGGGTCAGCGCTTCATAAAAACGTGATCGTGAAGCTACTCGGAGATGAAAACCAGTAAGATGAACTCAGACATGGCCAAAACATCCAGTAACGGCTGTTTTTTTGCCTCGGGATGGGTGGGCCAACGCAACCACCTGAGCTGATTTGTTTAGAGGTGGCGCTTGGGTCCTTGCAAGGAGCATCTGGGTGGCGACCCGTGGAGGCAGCGCAGCTTGCCCACAGCCACTGACAGCCACCTCCTGTGCTTTCACAGGGACCCAAGGGGGACAAAGGCAGCCGCGGAGAAGGGGTAAGTGTCGCTCCGCGCCCTGGTTAGGAGGGTTCCCGGGGGGCCACGCCGCACCCACCTGGGCTCTGTGGTGGCATCAGGGTCCCACGAGGTCCCACGTGCGCACACATCCCCACGTGCATGCATACATCTGCTCTGCTCTTAAAATTTCCACTCGCTTAACCCCGTTGCACAGCAAAAGCTAACACTTCAGAGGTGACCGTGGTGTCTCTGCGAGCGAACCGCAGCGAGCGGCAGCTCAGACAGCCCCGGGCTGTGCTCCCAGGGGCACGGCACCTCTCTAAGTGGCAGCGTTGCCTGGGTGCAGCCCCCACAGCGGGGGGAGCAGTGCCAGGGACCCCTCCTCCCCTTCTTACCGGGGCTCTGGTGGACTTTTAGACCTTCTCAGCGCTCCTTGGTGTTCTCACCGTTGCAGGGGATGTGTCAGGTGAACTGGATGCGTGTTGTTCATCCTCCTTGTTACCCAGATGGCGGTTCCCCCCGCTCTCCAGGCTGTTTCCTTTAGCGACAGCGGTGGTTCCTGCACACGGGGGCTCTGTCACCATCCCCTGCCCCCAGGACCTCGCTGCCTGCGGGGAGCAGGCATGCAGGCACCCAGCAAACACAGCTGGTGGCAAGTGCAGAAGGCTGTTACTTGCCACCTTCAAAAGAGACGTCCCATAAGCCAACGGTCCCCAAACCCCCCAGCGCACGTTTCTAACAAGGCAGGGTGCTGCTGGTTCCTTCTTGCTCACCCTTTTCCACCTTCGTGGGCACAGCAGAGGAGTGCTGGCAGGGACCCGAGCCCCAGGGTGAGCGTTTGCCGCTGTCAGGGCCATCAGCAGCCTCTGCTGCAGTAACCCTGCTGTTGGCAGACACCGTTGGGCCCATGTTCAATGTCCTTCCAGTGCAGCACCCAGCCCTCGTGCAGGCACCTTGGGAACAGCCCGTGGCTGTACAGGGAGATTTTGGGTTACTAATGAGCATCTTCTGACAGATTCTGCCTTTTTCTTTTTTCTTTTTTTTTTTTTTTTTTCTGCAGGGAGTGCAAGGTCCAAGGGTGAGCACTCACTTTTTCTCACTCATGTATTTTATTTAAATAAACCAGTTGCTCTTAGCTAATGTGAAGCTGCAGGGTGGGTAATTGTGGATACAGGGAATGCGATAAGTACCTGGGAGTATGGCATTAACGATAGTTAAGGAACTAAGGGCTGGGAACAAGGGATGCAGTAGGAACAGACTAGGTGCAGTCAGATGCACCCAAAGTTGGGAGATGGAGGAAATGGGGCCACCTCCTGTCTCCAAAAGGGTTGGAGAGGGAAGATGCTGTAAAATGTCCAAAATCTGGAGGATTTCAGCAGGGAACAGGCTCATGCTGGCAACAACCGTGAGAAACGGAAATGCAAACTGGAGACGTTGCACTAACTGATGCCACTCTGTCTTTAGGGTCCTCCAGGCCCACGAGGACACCCTGGCCCTCCGGTACGTATACATGGAAAGAGTTCAAAGGCATTATTGAAACAAGCTAAAATTATTGCCATGATACTCTCCAGGGGGACTGTTCACTCACTGGAAATTATAGCTTAGCCCCATTCCTCGCATGCAAAGATGCCTGTGTGAATGGACTAGTGTTTCTTGTGCTTTAGTCCAAACCCTCTCCAAGCATCGTATAGAGACAGCATTGTTGCCTCTCTTACTCGTCTGCACTGAGGGACCCCAAGGAAAACAGATTTCAAAAGGATGTGACTGCAGATCTTTGCGAGAGCGACTGCCCATCTTTCTGGCTGATGCCCCTTTTCTGCTTTGATTTCTAGGGACCGCCAGGAATTCCAGCCTCATTTGTAAGTTGCTGTTTTCTGTACGTTTGTTAGTGGTGGTAATAAGTCCTGCAGAGCCAAGGTGCTGATGGGACATCCCGAAAGACCTGCTGGGACCCTGGAGACACACACTCAGGTCCAGCAAGAGACGCTGTGGTAGCAAAAGCAACGCTTGTATCGCAGCCCTAAGCCAAGAAGCATTTGCTTGCATCAGGGCACCTTCAGCTTCCAACAATCTCAGTTACCATCTTTTTCACCCCACACTAGCAACAAGACGGCTTCGGGGCAGCTTTCCAGGCACTAATCGACTCGAACACCGCGCTCAAGACAGAGGTATGAGAGTACTTTTGAACGTACTGGTCTTTGCTGGAGGTGGAGACAACGGTCACGCCGTTGCTTGTTCTTTCTGTGTGCTTGAAGTTTATTTAAGAGTGACAAAGCTCTGATTTGTCACTGCTCTCGTGGAACAACTGGGGCTCATGTGTGCAAAGATCCAGTTAAAGGATGGGGTTCTGTTGTGTTCCTCGCTTGTGAAGATTCAGACTTTGCCATCCTGACTTTGCCAGTGCTTCAGGGATGTCCCGTTCAGGGGAGTGCAAGGGCTGTAGCTCACTGGATCCCAGACAGCACAGCCTGTCCTCGGCCCACTGAGTTTTCCCACAGATAAACCTGGATCCCATGTGGTCACTCCTAGTGCCTCCGAGGCACCTGACTCCATCCTTGTCTCTCCAGGGTTACCAACATCCAGACCTTCTCATGCTGGACCATGGAGGGGAGATCTTTAAGACTCTACACTACCTCAGCAACCTCATTCAGAGCATCAAAAGACCCCTGGGAACCAAGGAAAACCCCGCCCGCATCTGCCGCGACCTCATGAACTGTGAACAGAAGATGAACGATGGTAGGAAGCCCTGAGCGTGTGAAGGCTGCGTCCTCCCTAGGGCCCAAACGGGTCTCCTTCCCTGGGACCACTCATGCAGAAAAAACTTTTCCTTTTCCCATTCACAGAGAAGTTTAAGTGTTCTTGTTAATCCCTGAATCCTCTTTTGTTCAGGTACCTACTGGATTGACCCAAATCTTGGCTGTTCCTCGGACACCATACAGGTCATCTGTAACTTCACCAATGGTGGGCAGACGTGTCTCAGCCCCATCACCGTCTCCAAGGTACACACAGATCGACCCCAGCACGGCATTTCCCATACTACTGTTACGAAATATTTGCCCAGGGGGGTGTTGTGCCAGGACACTGGACGGTGACCACTGTGACACAGCACGCTGGCTTCTCCTCCAGGCAGAGTCGGTGCAGCTGTAACACTCAGAACTTCCCTCATGCCGTTAAAAAATGTACCTGGTGGGTACTGACTCCTGTCAAGACAAAGCAGTAGGCTTCCAGCAATGTTTAATTAACCCATAATCTTAACAGAGGCCAGTAATTTGGCAAACATGCTGCTCCCAAACGCTTTGTTGAAGTTATGGTCAGGTCACTCTTGCGTTTTGTTTTCTGACACCTGAAAAAGTGAGGTCAGCTTGAGTATACAGCTTTCCAGCGAAGAGAATGTTAGGAGTTTTCCTGAGGAAGTGCAATAACAATATCTGGGTTCGTCTGCAGATGAACTAGAACCTGCTGTTTTGCGTCTTTGCAGAAGTGTGTATTGATTGCAAAGTTTATGTTACTTTCCTCCCACTCAAGGACCTGCCAGTTTGTTCTGAAAAATTCAGGACCTGCTGTGTCCCCGTGAAAACTTTCCAGAATGACTTGGCCTCTGGTCCTTCTGCCCAGACTCACGCCAGCCCCAGTTCTGGGCATCGGTGTGCGACTTTAGCAGAGCACAGGGACCACCTTTGCCGTGGTCCCCACACTTGGGCCAACCCTGCCGCTGGCTCCCGCCGCGGGACGCTTTGCACTAACGTCTCTGTCCCCTTCACAGCTGGATTTTGACATCGGTAGAGTCCAGATGAACTTCCTCCGCCTCCTGAGCTCAGAGGTGGTGCAGCACATCACCATCCACTGCCTGAACACCTCCGTCTGGCGGGAAGGCTCATCCGAGAAACCTTCGGAAAAAGCCGTGCGCTTCAAGGCCTGGAACGGGCAGATGTTTGAGGCAGACGGGCAGCTCAGGCCAGAGGTGGCCGCTGATGATTGCAAGGTACGTTGCTGCAGAAGAGGGGAGAGGTGGAGCGAAATGCCAGGCTGAAGCCACTCAGGGCACGCGGCAAGGCTCGAGCGATACCCCTGCTCCTTATTCTCCAGAAGAAGGGGGAGAAGGGTGTTGTTTACCCGGTCACCACTCGTTTTCCAGCCCAGGGTGCTACGGCGGCTCGCGGTCAGCAGGTCGCCTTCAAACAGAAAGCAAAAAAAAGTCAATCCAAACGCAGGTTAGGGGGCAGAAGGGGGAACTGCCACCCCGAAGGTGGCGACTCCAAGTCACACGGAGTGGCTAGCCACCTGCCTGCGTTCCGGGTTTGCTGCAGCGGGACTCTGTTTGCTGGTGGCATTCCGAGCTCGGTTGCCGTCAACCTGGATAAAAGGTTCCCCAAAATGCTTTCTGAGCCTCACCCCTGACCCGCTCAGCCCAAAGGGGCAGCCCCTTGTCTCACACAGGGCTTTTCAAGCTTACACACCGGTGAAACGCGCTCCTTCCCAGCGGGATTCATCCCCCCATTAAACAGCTTTTTCCGCCTGTCCCCCCTCCCTGCACAGATCAAGGACGGACGCTGGCATCGGACTCTCTTTTCATTTCGGACGCAGGACCCTCAGCAGCTGCCAATTGTCAACATCTACAACCTTCCCCCATCGGAGCCAGGAAAGCGATATCACCTCGAGGTTGGCCCCGTCTGCTTCCTTTGAGCAAAGCCGTCGCACCGGGCTCCGAGGCTTTGACCCCAGGTTTGGCCCGTGTCTCTCCGCAGCAAGGACAGCCGGGCCCTGTCTTTGGGTCAACTCTTGCTCTAGCCTTTGGCTCCAGGTCTCCAAGAACCCGTGATCTACTGAACTCAGCGGATGGGTAACGGAGGGATAACGAGGACGCAGGGGGAGCGGGTGTCAGTTGGGACGTGAACAGTGGAAAGGGATCGGGGGACGAGATGTCACAAGCGGTTCCACACACAAAGCTTTTTCCACGACCAAAGAAAATATTGAGCGGGGTTTGGTTTGGGTTTTTGTGTTCCTCCCCCGTTTTGTCTTACCTGGTTCCTGAGTTACCAAATGTTCTTTCCATTGAAAAGTAAGGAAAAGATAGAGCTTCCCTCTCAGAGCTTGTCGCCTTCGGGATGGCCGCGTGCTGCATCGGGTCTCCCAGGCCGAGCTGCAAGTTGAACCTGGCTGCTCTGTGCACCGGAAGCATTTTGATGTGCAATATTAGAAGAAACAAAATATATATATTATATTATTT